AATACTTGCAGCCTCCGCTTAGCAAAAGTCGCCGTGCCTCACTGAGTGTCAGAGATAAGTGTTTTCCTTGCACCCAGAATTGCTGTGATGCAGAGAACTCAAAAATGCTGCTGCATAGGCAACATCTAAATATAAACAATGCAGCACTTCCCCAAGAGCATGATTCTAGAGGAGACTCGTACACCGGAAGCAGCCTTCGGAGGGCTCCAGCCACAGGTTCTAAGGGGGATAATATTAATAAGCACATATTATATCCTATAAATATGTAGTGTATATTACACCTTCTCAGGCACAGGTTCTGCTAAGAAATCTCTCCCAATCTCTGATTTTGAAGGAGGACTTTTGCCTTCCCTCCAGTTCCAAGTTAGGAAAAGGATTGGATCCAACCTGCACTGATACAGTTTGGGGACAATTCTCAAGGAGAGAGAGACAGAGAAGAACCTGTCCAAGGATCCTTGGGACTAATAGAGCAGGATGAAAATCTAATAAATAAATATAAGAAAAAGGAAGCAAAATAATAGGAATGTTTCCGCAGGGTCAGCTCCACTTGGAGCCTTCAGGTGTTCTATCTTGCATGGGCAGTAATTTGTCGACTGCCTTGCTGTTGAGCCATTCCTGATCAATATTGCTGGCTTGATTTTTCCCCTCCGAGGTGGCTGGACTCTTTTCTCGTAGGATCTGACACTGCCAAATAAGTCAAGGTGGTCTGAGAGTGCAGGCCAGTTTTCAGCCTAGGCCTCTAGTCGCTGCTGTGGCATTTCTGGGTGCCAGGAGCATAGTGCCTGGCGCTTAGCAGACTCTGCCCTCCAGATTTAATTTTTTTCTCAAGACCTTTTCATTTATGTGTTCTTAATAAACTCATCATTTTTGTTTCGGTTGAGGAGAGTGGTTTTGTGTTTTGGAACTCAGCTTCAGCCTCTGCCTTGTCCTCAGGTTCTAGGGCAACCGACCTGCCTTTACTCTCACCCGTTTGTCTTTAGGGAAATGCGTGTGACTGGTCAAGCCCTCCATGACAGCCCTTTGATGATTGGGCAATGCACCCCATAGCAGCCATTTTGTGACAGCACCCCTGAGACATTCCAGATATTCCTGCTGAGCCCAAAGGTTGGAGACCACTGGCCCGGGTATGTGTTGCACCAATTATGAATACCAGAAGTGACGATATGCTGAGACAGGCCACCAGCCCACTGAAGCCAGGAGTCTCTCTTGCCCTTTAGAAGTTCTGCTCCAGACAAAATGTGCACTGTTGAACACTCATGGTTACTGAATCACTTTGCGACTGTGAAACTCAACACCAGTAACAACCGATCAAGTGTTGTAAGAGGCAACAGTGCTGGCCAGTGACCGTGGACCTTCTGGTGGGATTCCGATTCACACTGAAATGAGCGTTCTTGCTCAAGCAAATGCAGAAACCTAACCCAGTTCCTCAAGGCCCTGGGTCTTGTTTTGTGCCGTCCTTAGGCTACTTTGCAAATGAGACCAGTTCAGACCTCTGACAAAAGCGATCTCTCTCTTCCTAGATAGCAGAGAAGGAATTGGGAGAGTAAGAAATGGGGATGGCAGAAAGAGAGAAAGAAAAATAGAGTGGCAGACAAAGAAAAGAGGTGACCCACCCGCTCCTGGCTTTGGCTCAGCAGTGGATATGTGGCCCTGACAGATTACCAGCAAGGGGATGCAGCCCTCAGCAGAAAAAAGGTTGCCCAGCTCTGCTCCAACAGTTACACCCTTTTGTTATATAAGGTGATTGATTAATATGTATGCTTCACCAACTACAGCTTTAACCTAAAATGAAGGAAAATAAAGTTTTCACTCTACTCTTGCAACGTTTTAGATGGGGCAGTGCGGGGAACGTGGTGACCCTTCTGCTTAGCTCATTTTCCTGATCCAGGCACAAAAACAGCAAGGCACAAGACGTGCAGACAACATGTTCTGCTGACACCCATAAAATGGCTGGTTTTGAACAAGATGGTGGCAGATGGACAATGGCCTAAGCCAAACACATGTAATTTGACCCTTAATCTATCCAGCCATTTTCAAAATCCTAAACTGTTTCGTGGAAAATGCTGTCAAGTGTGGCGTTTTTTCCTTAATAAACAGCCAATTTTGCTGAGTCACCTCAGTCCTAGAGAACCTACCTCACATCAGCATTATAGTTCTGGAAATGATACCATGGCATCAGGTCATCAACTGATAAAGCTTCGCCACCCAAAAGGACTGCATCAGTCAGCCGCATGGTGCACATGAGTCAGAGTGGATTTTCTGGAAAGGCGATGTCCAGTGGACACAATCTGGTGCGCCACATTGCTGGTTTTACATCCCAAACTGTTAAACATGCACTTCTTCAACAGCCCCTCCCTATTACATGGCAAATTCCTTTTGAAACACCATTAATGTTTCAGAAGGAGTTGTGTGCTAAGGCATTTCAAAATTATCACAGGGTTTTCAAGTCAAAGTTATGGGTGGAGACCTGTTCTCCCCTGCAGAGGAAGGCAGGACGCACTCCAACAGAGCAAAGCTCAGGGAGCCAAGGTTCCATTTGGATGCCAGGAAGCACTTCCTGACAGTCAGGACCCCGAGGGTGCGGAATGGGCTTCCACGAGAGGTGGCTGAGGCCCCATCGGTGCGGGTGTTCAAGGATAGGCTGGACGTGCACATGGTGGGCCTATCGTGAGCAGAGCAGGCTGGAGACGGGGGTCAGACTAGATGGCCTGGGAGGCCCCTTCTGATGCGCGCTGTTTCTATGTTATCACAGGGTTTGCCTGAAATTATTCTCTAGTTCGTAACTCCTTCCTGCATGTTTTTCCATTACTATGTCCCCTTGTCTTTGTCTTAAGTAAAGCTCTTGACTGGGTTCAGACTCCACAATAACCCCACAATTCAACAATAACCCATACTGGATCGTTGTGTAATCTGAACCCAGCAGGTCGCTCTGCATGCACTGGTGTGCAGTATAGATACATAGGTGTGCGGTGTATTTTCTGGATTAGACCAGTGAGTATGCCAAGCCCAGGCCGAAGCATGTAAAAGGCAGGCCTGCTTCTCCACAATCGTACCTGTCTGTCGAAATCTTCAGGGGAGACTGTCTGTGTTCCATTGCTGTCTGATATAAAGGTGGTGGCTCAGACTTTGGAACTCTCTCTTGGGAAGCCAGTCGGGCCTGTTCCCTGTTCACCTTTGGCGAACTGGTGAAGAATATTCTTCTTCATTGGGCCTTCACTACTGGCTATTCAGCTTCCTCACATTTGTAAGTTTGGCTCTGATTGATTCTACGTATTTTGAGCTTGGACAGTTTGTTTTAGCATATTTTATATCGTCACATGCTGCTTTAGGGAGAACTGAGCTGAAATTTATTTATTTTTCGATTTATATCCTGCCTTTTTCCTACGAAGGGCTCAAGGCAGCTTACATCCTTCTCCTCCTCCATCGAATCCCCACAACAACAACCCTGTGTGGTAGGTTGGGCTGAGAGTCTGTGACTGGCCCAGAGTCACCCAGCTGGCTCCATGGCTGAGCGGGGACTAGAACCCCGATTGTCTGAGTCCCAGTCCCAGGCTCTTAACCACTACACCACACTGGCTCTCACTACAGCTTAATGTAGCTTAAACATTTCCATGATACAAATCAGATACTTCTGGGTAGAAAGAGATACGAATGCATGTTCTTTTCATTATGCCAGTTTAAATGTCAAGTTTCCCACAAAGAATTTTGAGAGAGAGAATTTGAATGAAGGTGTTGAAAATCCTCTGCCAGAGATTCCGAACTCTTTTCACAAAACTAGTCTTGAGGGCTCCTGAGGGGGCGAGGAAATGATTAGCAGACTGGTTTGCATTTAGGGTGTAAATACAACTTCTAACTCTGAGAAACAGCAATGTCTAGTTTGTTGTTGACAATCACAACTTTTGAGAAGAAAATCTGATTTGTCTGTTGAAGACTCATTGGTGTTCTTTAGAACTTCTTACAAATGCATTTAAATATTTTATTTTAACAAAAAACGACAGACTCCTGATCCCTCATTGGAGAATGATCTAGGCACCCCTGAGGTGGATGTCCCCAGGAATGGCTACTTCATGGGACATCTGTTGGGTGGAGGCATCTGTTTTTGATTTGGAAGTAAACGTTGCTACTGCAAGCCTCTGGAAATACTGGCATTAGAGGATTCTGTCAAGGGTGGCAACCAAATGAAGAAGAGCCTGCTAAGAAAAGAGAGTTTCTGAGTAAAAAAAGCAGCTCGTAAGCATGGCTTTTCTCATGAGTAGGCCCCTTTCTAGAGTACCTCTGACATGCAGCTGAACCTTGAGTGGGGCTCTGGGAGCTCATACATAAGACTGCATCTCAGGCAGACAGTGGGTGGGACATCCGCTCTGGACCCTCCCTGTGTGTCCCCCACCTGCAGCACTCACTTCCCTGGACATGCCCACTTTGTGCCGGGACCATTTAAAAACCTGCCTTTGGATTTGACTTTGCCTGGCTGCTGCACTCAGACCTGAGCATCCTCACCTGGATCCCGCCTTTGCTGCAGGCTTGCACTCTTGTCTTGAACCCACCTGAAAGGGGGCGCTGGATGCTGCTAACTGCAGTAGCAAGGGTTCTTATTCCCAGGTGAAATTCTTATTCCATGGTTAGCTCTTTGCTTTTAACCACACTGTTGTTGTCTGCACTTTGTCACGCAGCCGTGGATCCCCCACTGCAGCCATTCACCCGGGCCCCATCTTGAGGGCAGTGGTGTCACCCCTCCCTTGTCCTGGTACCACACCATGCCTTGTTCCCATTATGTTTCAGAGTGAAGAGTGCTCTTCTGAGGTCGCTGTCCTTGCCGCTACCATTGCAAAGCTGAAGGAGCAGCGAAAGAACCAACCGCCTCTGAACTAGGGCAGTTTTAGCCTGGGAGAATCTCTGAAGCATAGGCGTGGATTGTCCTAGCTATATCATTGCCACGGGTTAGGTCAGTTTCTCGCTCGCGCTCCGTTCTGTCATGGATTTAGCTTTGTCTGATTCTGCAGTTTTTCAGAAACAAAGCAAGTTTGAAGCCCATGTGTTGATGAACCCGCCTGAGGTCAGAGTTCCGCTTGTGATGCACAAAGACTGTACCTGTTTGAGTGGCCTCTTCAGCGTAACAAACATCTCAGCACATGGAAATGTAGCATTAGCCTGCAAATGCAGTCGCTTTCTCCATGCCACTCCAGACAGCTTATTGAACAGGTAAGAATTGCTCCCACTCGTCGGGCCATTGTGCACCAACAGCTGCTTTGCAAAGCGATTTCGAAAGTGCCTTTTCTCCATGTGCTGCCTCCCTGAATGAGCCTGTAGCAGTGTAGAGGCAGTCTAGTCATGACCCCACTCCAGGAATCAGCCATTGCCTTCTTCCTCCTATACTTTTTAGGATAGGCTTTCCGAGCCTGTTTCCTGCAAATGTGTTCGTTTACAACAAGAATTACGGGATGCTTAGCTGGGCATTATGGGAGTAGTAGTCCAGCACTTCTGGTGAGCACCAAGGCTGACCAAATACCATTTGTGACACAATGCTCGTCCACCTTGTAATGCAGCAGTGGGTCAGTTCAGGCTAAAGGGATCCATGCTATTTTCATGAAAACGCTAACCAGGCACACTTCCTGGGGCTGGCGCCAAAGGAAGTAAAGTTTTGGAGAATTTGTTCTGAGTGCTAGAACTGAATAGCTCTCACAGTGCTTCTGCTCAACAGCTACTTTTGTCAACCTCAAGTTCCCTTCATCTTGGGGCATAATTTGTGAAGGAGGAAGGGGAATTCAGTTTGCTCCACATTCTGCCTGGTCCAACAGTGGGTAAGAATATGCCCACTCCTGTGCTGATTATATTGGTCACTGGGCCCAGTCAAAGCTGAGGAAGGATCCATGCTGCATGATAGCCACCCTGGTGACAGAATCAGGACCTGCAAACACCTGTACAACCAGCAACCCCTTCGCAGGTGCTTGCAGGGAGCAGCTGAGGAGCCGTTGTGCGGTGCAGCTGGAGGGCCTGGCAAGCAGCGCAAGAGGCCTCCCTGCACTGCTGCTCTGCCGCAGCAGCACGAGCCGCCCTCATGACTCCCTCGTGCTCTGACTCGCCTTGCCTGAATCCCAGTTCCTGCCCGCCTTGCTCCAGCCCACTCCTTCCTGTTCCTGCGTCCATCCTTGTCTTCAGACTGACCCAGGTACCTGCACCAGTCCTCACCTTGTTCTTCCATGGGACTGTCTTTCTGGAACCTGACCTTTGCACTGTGCTTTTGGACTGTGCCTTTGGATTGCAAGATCTTGGGCTGTGTTTGCTTGGATCTGCCATCTCCCTGGCGGATGCTTCTGGCTCCAGCCTTCATGGCTTGCCACCCACGTCCTGGACCTTATGCCTGATGTCCTCCAGATGTTTTGGACTTGAACCACCCTGGCAACAGGGTCATTGGTCAGGAATGCTGGGAGATGTAGTCTAAAGCATTAGTGAGCATGAGGGTTGGGAGGCTTCGGGAATGCTTTTTATAAATTCCAGCAGGGTGTAGAGCTCTGAGGAAGCCTTGCTGAATTTTTGCCTGAGAAAGTGAGACAGAGTCAGCCTCATTAGCTCTGAGCTAATGAGAAAAGTGAGGAAGCAGGCGGGCAGCTGCAGGTCAGATCTCACAGGGCATTACACACCAGATGGATGTGTATAATGGGGCAAAATCAGGCAGGCAGGCTGGTTGGCTTCATTCCCTTTCCATCCTGGATTTCAGCTCCACAGAACATGCTCCTCTACCAAGAAGCGAGCGGCAAGTGCCTTAAAGAGGACTGTTCCTAATTTTTCCCCTTTGGGTTCCATAAATACTTATGCTCATCTCTGTGATGTATGCAAATTAATTTTGATGGGCCCACTCATGTTTTGCATGTGCAACACTTCAAGTGTCCCACCTTCTGTTAGTTTCCTGAAGTATGAAAAGAGAAGATACTGAGTGTACCCATTCCTGCTTGATGTCTCGCATGTGTTTGCAAATGAAAAGAATAGCTCTTTGGGGCCAGGTTAAAGAGGTATGTAGCCCATCTCCTTCTGCCCCAGTGGCTAACCAGATGCCCACAGAAAGCCCATGAGCAGAACATAAGATGGTAACCACCATCCAAGCTCCAAAAACTCCCTTCCAAGGCCTGCTGACCCCATCCAAGATGTGGCATGTGCCCTTTGGGACTAAGAGCCAATAACAACCTTATTGTCCGTGAATTTATCCACTTTGCTACAGGGATTTTTATCCTCCATGAATTTATCTACTCTATTACGGGAATTCATTATTGGGATGCCTTGGGCCACATGCCTTTGCAGGTAATCTGCCTGGGCTCCTCTCCACCCCATTTTGGCTCCTTACATCTCTCTCTATAGCACCAAAGGCCAGCAAAGGGGCAGGGATTGTAATTGCATTATGAATGTGAGCAACTTGCAAAAATGCAGATTTTTAACCCTTTGGCAATAGGAAATTGGTGCTCAGAATGGGAGTGAACCAGCAGACCCTTGGTGAGAATGCACCGAGAATAGTATCTCCTGCTCTGATGGGACTGCTAATCAAGGAGGGCAAAGAGACCCCACCAAGCAATTTATTTCCCTCCCTTGCCCATGCATTGCAAAATTTAAGATCTCCACCATAATGCTGGCATGTTTTCAAACTTGCAGACAACCCCGAGGGTTCCTTTTCCTCTTGAGGTAAATCCATTCCTGTACCAGATTTTGCTCTTGGGGGGACGGGGGGGGGGGGACTGCAGCCACCAACCAACTCTTTCTAATAGCCAGCGAATCAATTTGAGTTACTTTACACATTAGTAATGCCTGTCTAATTCTAGTTCAAATTAGATTTTGGCAGAAAGTGAAGTGCAAGACATCCTGTCTTCCTGGAGCGGAGCTTGGATTTACAGCTCCCCGAGGAACTCCGGTGCAGCAGCCCCCTTTCCAATCTGACTCTTCTCCGCCTCAAAATAAGCCCAAGCCTTGACTAGATGTCCATCAGGACTTTCCTCTGATTAAAACACAGTGATGATTCAGGAAATGTTTTTCAGCTGCCACCTTTGTGTGTGTGCCCCCCCCCCCCCCCCCGGCACCCTTAAAGAAAGAAAGAAAAATCTCAGGCACAACTGAGGATAATAAAATTGTTAATGGGTGGTGAATTAAGTAGTCAGAAGTGGCGAGGGGATGAGGTCAGGACCAGACCGGTGTGGCTAGTAAGTGAGCAACATTACTTTGACCGCAGAGCCTAATTGGATGGAACGTCCACATGGGGCCTGGGATATTCCAGCTGGCTTCTGGGGCCACCTGTGCAGAGACTTCAGGGTCAGTGGTCTGTTGATACCTGCATTTTTTGATTCTCTGTGGGACAAAACGGTCACGATGACCTCCCTGTGCTTGAAAATTCGCCACAACACTACTGGCTACCCGATGGAGCAACATATGCTGCCACCATGTTGGGACTTGGGTCATGTTGGGACTTGCCTTATCTCGTCTCTTCTCTTCAAATCAAGTTCCAGGTCCTTATGACTTTCTTTTCCTACATCATAGCAGGCAGGTAGATGGCAGGCACATGGCAGGGAATCGAAATGACTTTGGGGCGGGTGGTCCTTCTCCAGGAGCTCCTTCCAAAGTGAGGTGGGTGGCTACCAGGGGGCGCCTTTTTGGTTGGGCACCCCGAGTGTGGAATGAGCTCCCTAGAGCGGTGCTCCAGGTGCCTACTTGGTATTCTTTTTGGCACCAGGTGAAGACCTTTTTATTCCCCCAGCATTTTCACAGTATAATTTTTAGCTTCATTTTTAATATTCCATTTTGTTCTCTACTGCCACTATGCTTTTATGCTGATTCAATTGCAACTGTTATTGTCATTTTGTTGTTTTAGGTTAATCTTCTCTGGAGTTTGTGGGACTGTTTAATATTTTTCTTAACTTTTGTTAACCACCCAAAGAGCCTTGGCTATTGGGCGGTATAAAAATGAAGGAAAGAAAGAAATAAGATTCCTATGACACTAGACATTTTTCTTTAAAAAAAGGACTTTTTTTAGTAGGGTTATAGTGACCCTAACAGAGGGTAGAAGCAAACGGGTGCAGAGCAACCTGCACACTTCTCGGCTGGGGATCAGAAGTGGGCGAAGGCATCTGGTTCTGGTTCTGAATGGTTCTAACGACCTGCTAAGAGGCTCTTCATAATGCACTCCTTCCTAGCTGACCAGCTGTGGTGAGAGCCCCTTCCAGTTAAGTAGCTGAAGCTATACAAAGCATCGCTTTGGGGGAGCTGCCAACCTGGTACTCATCTTCACACTGGGACTTGTTAACATGAAAACCGCCTGGCCATTTACTTCAGCTTAAGTGACGTCCCCTCGATGTCTTGATTCAGCTCTTCCAGGCATTCACCCTTCAGACTGCGCAAATAATGTGCTTATTATGATGTATTAAAGATGCAAGGTGTATTAAATTGATTTTTCTGGAGAGAGTCCCTTTCCTCAGACTGGCTCCCCGCACACCCCTTGCAACACAGCAGTAAAACTTGTCCCTGCCCTTAATCACATCTGAAAACACATGAGTGAAGGCTGAGGACAGCCTTGCAAAAAGCCTGCAGATTATAGCTCTCGCTGCAGCATGTTATGAGCACAATAGTTCAGGTTTTTTGCCAGCACGGTTAACAAAGGAGAGATTAAAGATGGACATTTTGAAAAGTCGACTCAGCCAGGAAGCCAGCTGCCCAGGAGCCAAGAGTATGGAAAATATGTTGTTCTCAAAAGAACAGGAAGTTCAATCTCATGGGCAGCAGCTTTCCCATGGGACTGGAACATGGATATGGACACGGGCTGAACCAGTGCCTGGCTGTGAAAATAAACTGGATGAGGGTTAACAAACAAATGTGGTCTAGACAAGATGGAGGTGCTGTTAGTGAGTCGTTTTTCTGAGCAGATGGAGGGTGCTCAACCTGTTCTGGAATGAGTTGCACTCCCTTTGAAGGAGCAGATTTGTAGCTTGGGGTGCTCTCTGATCCATCTTTGCCACTCGAGGCACAGGTGGATTCAGCGGCATGGAGTTCCTTCTACCATTTTCCACTGCTGGCCCAACTACTCCCTTCTCTGGACAGGGGTAGCCTGCTTTCAGTGAACTATGCTCTGGTAATCTCTCAATAAGATTAACTGTACATGGTTCATAAACTCTACATGGAGCTGCCCTTGAAGACTGTACGAAAGCTGCAGCTTGCGCAAAATATGGCAGCCAGATTAATAACTGGGACCCAGAGACCTGAACATATCAGAGCGATTCTGGGCTGCTTGGACTGACTGCCTTACACTTGCAGGCCCAGTTCAAGGTGTTTGTTTTAACCTATGAGTATAAAGCCTTACGTGGTTTGGAACCACAGTATTTGACGGAGTGCCTCTCTGAACCACAATCTACTCAGACACTATGTTCAACTTCTGGATGCCTCAAGCGCTAACTCCAAGTGGGAAGAGACTCAGGGGGGCTTTTGCGGTGCCTCCCCACCTATGGCATGACCTGCCCACTGAGGTCCACCAGTTGCCAACCTCGCCATCTTTTCTGCACCAGCTTAAGACAGCCCCTTTTTTTTACTGAACTTTGAAAGGTAGACAGAGGCTTGAGGGTTTTGTACCCCAAGTACTTTTTCAGGCTACTCTTCATTGCCATTTTAATTGTTTCTGATTTTTCTTTTTACAATATTTGTAATTTGATGTTTTGCTATATCGTTCAGTTTTTATGAACTGTTGCAGACTGCCCAGAGAGCTTTGGCTATTGGGTGATATAGAAATGATAAAGCCTTCCTGTGTTCCTGGTTAGGTAGGATTCTAATTCCCATTTGCCAGAGCCAGCATGGCTTTGGGTAAACCACTATCCCACTTTTGCTCCTGGTTTTGCCTTTGAGTGTGGGGAAGGTGTGGGAGACCTGTTAGTGTGTGTTGTGAAACTTCCTTCTGGAAGTAAAATCTCTGAATCGTTTCCATTCTGTCTCTAAAGTGGCCCTCTCTCCTCACGAGTCCCACTCTAAGTGCTTCCATCAAATGACACAAAATATGTGGCTTCGAGGGAAAGGGTGTTCTTCTTGGTGGCACCCTGCCAGGCCTGACCTTTATAGCGTTTTAGCCCTTTTACACAACACCTGTTTTTACTTTATCACGTATCCTGATGATCAACATTTCTGTGTTCTTCCTCTGCTAGAATGAACACCTTTAATGCTGCTCCCTATTAGTTGATATTTCATTCTTTTAATTCCCAGCGCATCACACAGCGATGGGGCAACTATATAAAGACAGCCAAATAAAATAACAAGATGTGTGTGTAGGTAGCCTCACGTGGATGAATGTTAACAGGCCAAGCAGCGCAATCAGGGTTCTTTTCACGTGCAGTTGAGTCTCATTTTGAATCATTGATAATAGATCAGAGGTCATTTGTGTTTTTCTAGCATTTCTTTAACCCAAACAGCTGCTTTACTTTTAAAACTATTCAGAACCAGCCATTGCACTGTGAACAGTGAAGCCTTCCGCAGTGTGTGCGGGCTGAACTTGGGCAGCAGCAGGGGGAGGGGAGGGGAGGGGAGGGGAGGGGAGGGGAGGGGAGGGGGGTTACTACCAAGTCCCTCTTTTTAAATGTAAAATAATATCTCCCCCCCACCCCACCCCACCCCACCCCAGCATGTATTTGCAATATCCAATGTGCTTCCTCCTTCTGGATTGCAAGGTGATCTCTGGGTCAGTTTAATGCAAAATGAGAAGGATAAAAGCTGTAGGATGAAATACTATGCACAGAGGTGACACTGCAATGCAGATGTGGCTAACAAGCCAGGCTGGTAAGAGGAAGCCAGTGCCCTTCTGCACCCTGGGACATGCCTAAAGCCCAACACACCAGAAAGAGGACGGGGAGCGGGGAGACATTAATTACCCGACCGTGATTAGATTACGACAGAGCAGAGGAAATGGGCCCGGCCATTTGTTTGTGTCTGGTATGAAATGCTTCTCCAATTCAATCAAGATTTAATAAGTAGCACAAAGGGTGTGGCTGGAAGAGGTGAAGAACACGCCAGATCAGGAAACTCTGGTGTGTGTGTGTTGATTGTGTGCCTCTTGCATGATCTTTTTAGCACACCGGAGCGGCTTTCCCCTGGTGGGGTGCATGACATTCACTCACGTGTGACTGTCCCACAAGCACTGGCTGGAACAGTTCCTGCTCAGGTGTCACTTAGGGACAGGTGTCACTTCCTTCCTTAGGGACTAGCACATTGCCACATCTATTTTGGTAAGAAGGCGAGCAGGGGGAATAGCCACGTGGAATTGCTTAGCAATCCACTCAAAGGGTCCAGTCCCATCAAAGCTGGAGCCCACAGGCGGGTTAGCCAAGCAGAGAGAAAGGACAAGCAGGGAAGAGCAAGGCAGAGGTTGAGAAGGAACAAAGGTCCCAAAGACAAGGGCGATCCCGGGCAAGTCTGCCAGGACCACAAACAGAGTCCAGGGAGCAGATGGCTCGTTCTGGCAAATGCTCAGCCCTTTTATGCTTCCCAGCTCAGTCTGCTCCTCGCAGGGTTTGCCTCCCGGTTGAAGAGTGTAGACTCCTAAAGGGGTGGCCCTTTGGAGCAGATCCAGGGACACAGCCATATCTCCAGGGAAGTCAGCTTGACGGGATGTGAGGCTGCTGAAGACGAGGAGGCGGGATTTTTAATGGGACCGAGCCCAGGGCAAGGAGAGGGAAGTTTGATTTGGATTCCCTTTTGGAGAAGCTTTCAGGGGCCACATGGCAAAGTGAGTGGTGACAAAAATCGAAGAAGGCCAGTTAATTGTAGCAAAAAGCTTTTCCTGCCTGGAACTCAGCCTCATATGAGAGACATTCCAGCCTTTAAATACAGGAGACAAACTGCATAAAAACTGGGAAACTAGCAACCCATCTGCAGTGGGGGGAAAGAGGGTGGGTCAGGCCAGGGGAAAGGGGGATGTCACCACCTAGGACACCCCAGGGAGACTGGATTTGCCCTCTGGGCCTGAGGTTCCCCACCTCTGCTCTAGGGGTTCCGGATTCATGCTCTCAGGCTGGAGTGGAGGTGCGGGTTGCTGCTGAATGCCCAGCTCAGGAGACGGCGGAAGTGCACAATCAACGCGGAACTTTAGCATAGCACATCAAACAAAACAGGTCCAGCCACCCGCCCCACTCGTGCGCCTTTTTGCTAATTCACTCCCTTGCTCGCCCTCTCGGGGTCTCAGCATGCCATTGCAAAGCAGGACTGCGGCAAAGCCAGCTGCACTTTTCAGGGGCTGGGGGCAAGACGGCCTGCATGGATGGCCTCCCTTGGCCTCCGTTCTGGCCACCATGGTCACCAACAGCTCTTGCACCTCATCCTTTTTCCCATAATTGCTGCCACTTGCTGGCATGACGGGGAACCAGCAAGCACATCTGCCACGGCATCTTCTGCTCCATCTTCTGACCACTGAGGAAGAGGCAAGAGAGCAAGCAGGTTGCAGTGCTGAGAGAAGACGCAACTCCAGGAAGGTTTCCTTTGTGGGCCCCTGCAAGAACAAGGGGCCCTTCAGGTGCCCGACCACACCTGCTCCTGACAGCCCCCTGACTGCAGCCAAATCCCACCTGCAGCAGTATTTGGACCACAGTGTCTGCTCCTGTTAGTACAGAAGGCAGGCCGATTTAATCAGACCTGCTCTGCATTCCAGGCGAAGCGTAGAAATCCCACATGGCTTTGTGACATGAGCAAACGATCCGTGTGCAAGGAACAGCATACTTCAAACTGCAGTGCTTATGATGTGACAGAGCTGTGGATGCAGGTATGGAAACATCTGGAAAGGGTGCCATTTACATGAGTAAGTTGTTTGTTAGCAGTCCTCCGAAGCAAAAATTGGGTGCTCTGACCTAAGAAAAGGAATTTCGCCACAGGATTCCCCTCATTTCCATTTCACACATCCTTCCTAAAACCCTTCGGAAAGCAGCTTGAACATTAACAGTTTGCCTAAGTGTAATAAATATAGACAGAGCCACTGCATTATCAAGCAGATATAACTATCAGTTGCTATGGCAGTGCTGAAAAGGGAAGTTTTATTTAAATCTGTGGCATCCATGTCTTGTGTCTTTTGATCCAGACATTTGCCATTTTCACAAATGGTTTCTGTTCTTTGATTCTGTGAGCCATCCTACATGAACACGGCCAGTTTCAAATACAGACTACAAATCAAAATTGCAATAGTGATTTGAAATTAATTTGTGCCCAGCGTTTTTCTTCCTTAGGCAAGCTTTCCTGTTCCTCTATCGACTTTTGGTAAATGTTGCTATTAGGGTGCTATTTTAAGTTATTTTTTAAAATATGAATTTAGTTGATTCCTGATTATTTTACATGTTGTTTTGATATTAGGTGCACAATCCAGTTTGAAGTCCAGCTCATGACACTGGGGAAGGTTTAAGCTTTAATCTTAGGCTACCCTTCACTCCAAGTAAGCCCCATGGAATCAAGGGGATATAAGTCTGAGGAACAGAATGTTGCCCTGTAATAGAATCATAGAATAGTATAGTTGGAAGGGGCCAGAAGGCCATCGGGTCCAACCCCGTGCTGTTGCAGGACACCAAGTTACACCATCCCACTCAGATGGCTGTCCAGTTTCTTCTTGAACGTCTCCAGTGTGGGAGCGTCCACCACCTCTCTAGGCAACTGGTTCCACTGCCATATTGCTCTGACAGTGAGGAAGCTTTTCCTGATGTCCAGCCTGAATCTGGATTGTCACAACTTGAATCGATTATTCCGTGTCCTACCATCTAGTATCAGTGAGAAAGAGATCTTGACCTTCCTCTTTGTGACATCCTTTGAGGTCCTTATAGAGGAATATCATGTCCCCCTTCAGTCTTCTCTTCTCAAGACAGACAGGATCAGGTAAACCCTACAATAACCCATGGTTTGTTGACTTACAAACCACTCAGTATTATGCTGGGTTGGGACAACCCACTAAAAAACATGAATTGGCATGTTGTGTGAACCCAGTCATTCTCTACAAGGTTACGCCGAACTGTTCAGCCAGGAAAGCACAATTCTTGAAGCGCTACCTCTGTTGGCTTCGAAAGATCTCCCTATGAAAAAGCACGGATTCCGCTGATGATGAGTTGTGGGCCATTTGAGTGCATTAAACAATCGAGGCAACAAACACAGGGGACCAGCAAAGGAAATACATCACCTTTCATTATGTTGCATTAAGAGTCTTTTCTCCCAGATGGATTTGAGCAGCTGTGCTGATCCTAAAATGAAGAGAGAGCCCCATTAGCGGCTTCCCAGTGCAACAGGATTTCTGCTGCAAGGTGCGGTTGTATGCCAGTCTCCCCTGCCCCCATTCTTTTCCCCAGTTCGATAACTGAATGAGCAAGTGCTGTGGTGTGTGTGTGGGTGTGTGTGTGTGTGTGTGGTGGGGGCGGGGGGAGATCACATTTCCTGCATGAGTGAAAAGGGAGCGTGCAAAGATACTGATTTTGAAAGGCTATGTTGTTGAAGCTGAAGTGGAAAGTAATTAATGAAATTAATTTGGGAGTTAGCGGTATAATTGCACTGAACGTTTCTAGAAAGGAAATATGAAATCCAGCTTCCAGACAATCAGAACTTAGCAAATTTTGATTAGTGTTTTAGCATTTGAGAGAAGATTTGAGGGAGGACTCCAGTGAGCGAGTGTGTGTGTGTGTGTGTGTGCACGCGCGCGCGTGCGCATGCAAGCACACATGCCTGCCTGTGCATTTGAAACTCAAACCCCTCAAACAGTTCACTGAGTTTCCACTTTTCCACACAAGGTTGCTAATTGGCTGCATTAACTTTCCGTTTTGGCACAGAGCAGAGCGCTTCCTTTCCTGCTTTCTTGCTACATAACCTCTAGGCGGCACTCTGCTATAATCAGACTGCACAAATATACACACAAATAATGCATTCCCTTTCGCTTTCATAACTTCATGCCACATTTCCTTCCTCTAAAAAAGAGCTCACTGAAAGTGATTAGACGCAAAAGCAAAACTGGAGGGTCCTGATGTTCTCTAATGAACCCATGAATAACTGAGAGTAGTGAATGATGAGTTCGTGATAATTGCCTTGTGTAAAAAAGCTCATACATGGAGGGTTGGATGAACAAATTACACTGGATCAACAGTGCTGGGGGAAGTGGACTTCCTTGGCCCTCCTTCCCATGGTAGCCACTCTGGCCTCCTGGAAAAAGTATACAAACACAAAAGAACCTACTGAATTGGGGCGGGGGGGGCACCATCCTCAACTGGGCTGGGCCCATCCACTTTGGGTGGCAGATCTTGGATTCGATGCAATGTGATCTGCACGTGTCTGTGGTTTCGTCACATCCGCACATGACGAAGAAGTGGAAGCGTGGGAGGCAGGGTGCCCTCGCTTGCTCTTCCGCTTTTGAGTGGAGCGGCTGCACCAGTTAGCCTTGCCCTGTGGGAAGTGAGAGAACGACAGCAAGTAACACGAATCCCCCACCTTGCGTTGCCCTCCTCCTCCTCCATGACTTTTGTGAGGGGCAGAAGGAGCTTCTTTGATATAAGTCTCTGCTCCTTCACTTGTGCACCCTTGCACACAGCCAACAGATTTAAAACAAAGACAAGATTTCCCTGCGCACCTCCCCTTTCCTGCTGGGCTAGCTTCTTCAGCAACTGCGTGTGTGTGTGGCACAAGATCTCACTTCCAAGACCGTGCAAACTACATTGCGTGTGTTAGCAGGTGCTTCAACAGTGAAAAATGCCTTCTGCATAAACATGTCGATTGTGCTGCCTCGTAAGTGGAAGGGGCTCCAGTGTGGAGCTCCCCCCAGACACGTTGACTGCCGGATGCAGTGACAGCTGCGGTGCTCCCTTTTTAGCTAACAAAGATAAAGCGATGGATGATGTCTCTTTGAGCTCTCCTTGGCCTCTGGTACCCTGTGAGAGCAGAGACTCAAAGCGCACATTGATCAGTTTTGTTTTCCCATCCAGAGGGCTTGCAAATTCTGCACTTTGGTGCCTAGCTCCCACCCCCGGGTCACCTTTGGTTTCTGCTAGGCAGTTGTCATGCCATGCGTCGGAGACACATTTTCCTGGGGATTTTTATTATCTGACATTTTCAGTAGGGTTGTCCTTGAAGGGCGCCTCTAGGCAAGGAGCTTTACTTGTGTTGTAGAAAAGAACATGCGGGGTGGGTGGGTTGGGGGTGAGGGGGAATAAGATGGTTTTGTTATCAAGATTTCAGGAGCAGAACATCCTATGGTGAGACCTGTGGATTCTTTACTGAGCACAGCCCTCAGAAATAACAAGTACATGTTTCCCAACATTTTAAAAAATGCTTTGCAAATATCTGTTTTGAGAAGCAATGCAGTATATTGCTCGAGAGGTCTAGCCTGGGAGCAAGGAAATCTAAGTTCAGGTTGGCAAGCAGGTATGGAGCCAACTGGAAAACCTTGCATTTCCGCCCCCACCCCGTTTTTCCCTCTGTCTCTCAGGCTACAGAACAAGCTTGTTGTAAGGATATGGCGGCGGTGGGTGGACTCCTTGGGCGAATTTGGAATTAAATGTAACTGATAAACAAGCACAGATTGAGTCTTACTGCCTGGGATCACAAGGGTGAAGAAACTAGATTAGCCCCAAATCATAACAGCATTGCTTCACATTTGAGAGATTCGGTGTTATTCATTTGTTGAGGGAAAAAGGCCATTCAGTGGTTCTTCAGCTTGGAGTCAGCACTCTGGGAGAGTTAGCTTTGCCCACCATCGTGGAGACCATCTCTGGCCAAGCTCCACCACCACCACTTTCAGAAGGCAACTCCTCAGGGTTGCAATTAATATCTCCTTGCAAAATAGGAATCTGCATTAGATGCAGGACAGAGGGAAAGCAGATGTAAGGTTGAAAGCAGGGGAAACATTTTTCACCATTGTTTTGCCTGGGCCTGGAGACCATGATTGGTTTGTGGAAATGGGGAACACTGGCCTCCAGTTGTGGATTGATCTCCCCAGTGAGGCCTGAAACTACTTTTCTTTCAATGGTGGATTAAGACCTCCTTCTCTCAGGCCTTTGGCAACAATGGAAAAGGTTTTAATATGGTCTTGAACTTTTCTTGTTGCTGATTGCTGATTTTAATGGGTTTTTAGATGTTTAAATTTTTACTGTGTTTTTGTATGTGGTTGTCCATCTCACCTGGATGGATTTCTTGGAATTGATCTGACCTATCTTAGTATGTTAGTATTATTATTAATCTGTTATTCTAATGAAAGTTTTAATTGGCTGGTTGTTTATTTATATATATATATATATATATATATATATATATATATTAAATTTTTAAACAAACACTAAAAAAATCAAACATCACAAACATTGGATTCACTGGGTCAACCTCCTACTACATATTTTTTAACATTCTAATATCAAATTCAAATTAATTTATCATAGTTTGAAAAACATCTCTAAATTTACGCCAAGTCCCATTTCTCCAGCCAATTATAGAAAGAGTCCCAAGTTTGATAGAAGTCAGTATCCTCTTTCTCCTTCAACGATAAAGTCAGTCTATCCATTTCTGCACAGTCCAAGATCTTTCTTACAATCACTCCATCGGTGGGCAGCTCCTCACTTTTCCAATATTGAGCAAATGCAATCCTTGCCGCTGTGATTAGGTGTTGTATTTTATTGTTGTATGCCGCCTAGGGAGCTCATCTGATCTGTTTCCAGCTCTCGTTGTTCTTCCTTTCTACACATTTCCATATCCCCCACTTCCTAAGTGAACAAACTTCTGAAAACAGGCCCAGAATGCAAAGTTTCAGTTAACAGGACACAACAGGGACCTTCCCTGGGGCTAGTTGGAAGTTAGTCAGGAATAAAGTTTCCAAGCCTTTTGGGGGAGTTCACTAGGAATGCAACACGGGATCCAACAAGATTTCAGATTTTTCATAGGCTGGGCAGAGATGACTCGGTAACAGGAAGTCAAGATTGTCAACAAGGCTTAAAAAGGCTGTTGTTGGATATATTATTCTGGAAAATAAATAGTGTCCTCTAAGAAACTGTTCTGCAGCATTAGTGGGACCACAGATTGAAGCCCACTCAACAGCATGCTTAGCTTCTGCCTTCTCCATCCGAGCTGAATTACTGGGAAATTTTTCAGGGCACACTTTACTATTCTACAATAGCTTTAGGGGCGCCCTTTCTTTCTTTTCCTCTTGTTTTAATGAAACAATAATG